TTCATTCTGTCTACTTTGAAAAAAATATTTGGCGGCTAGCGGCCATGATTAACATATTTTCCAGAAATTCCCAATGGCCATGCCGCCACTGATGGAGATGATTGGTTAAGAATTTTGTTGATTGAGTTGGTAATTTACAAAAAGACCAACATGGTTTTAGGTATGAGACGTTTTGCTACAGCCATGAAATGGCAATTCAACAAAGATTGAATAAAAATATAGATACATATATATAGATTTGACCTTTGCCATATCCGATGTCATTCAAAGACTGGCTTGCTTGTGTGAAGCACACTGATTTGCCTTGTGTATGAAAATGTGCTATATAAATAAAGATGCCTTGCCTTTGATGGACAATAATGAAGATTTCAGTAGATTAAATGAAACTTGACGCATGCCAAGCCAATTAACGAGTTGTACTACTTGCAGTTTAAGGCCTTACTAAATTGCTCTCATGGCTTTCTATTTAACTTTAATAGAAATGGGGAAAACAAATGAGGCCACATTCTGTCGGAAATGAGGAGAGATTATTTTTAGTACGTGGAATGTTGAACATGTGGCAAATAATTGGATTTTTTTTAAAAGTGAATTATTGTTCACCTGCTCATTACCAGACAACAGATGCATGATAAACTTTTGCTGTGAGGAACGTCATCAATGTATTCTTGCCTTTGAATTTGCCACGACTCTAGTGAGTGTAGAATTAAAATGGCTGTACCTACACGATGGAATACATCAGGAAAAAAAAAAGAAAAAGAAACGGAGTTTAGGAACACAGGTACACTCACCGGCCACAACGTCAGGGATTACAGAACAGACGCTTATTTCACACTATTTTTGATAGATAGATTACAGTCATTGCTTGGTTTTGCTTACACCAGATTTTACTGTAACTCCCCTAGACTACGATGTGAGGGCCGAATAATTTTTGGCAGATTTCAAATGACATGTAGCGCTGACATAGTAGCTTCCTACACTACACACAAAATAGAAAGTTATCTTGATCTGTCATCACACTTCGATTTCCTGAGATTAAATTGAACACAAAACATAATAAATACAGTGTTGGAATTCTTAATGACATAGACTTTTTTTCTGGGTGTGTGGTTAGGGTTGTTTTATTTATTGGGCTATTTAAATTTCACTTTTATCTATGATTTGGAAAATGATGGCAACTTCTATCATCCACAAGAGGGTGCAAATTTGCCATAAAAACAGCAATTATTTACGTCATGATACGAATAGAAAATATTTTCACGTGTTTTTTTTTGGCATGTCTGCATGTGTGTGATCTGTCATTTTTCATACAGAGTTTTAAAAAACGAGTCAAATATATTAATGGCTAATTGGAAAGTAGCAAATGATTATTTCGGGGGGGTTTTATCGTGATGACGGCGTCCTTGCACACATTCTCACATCCCATTAAAAATCTATTCAGTTCCATCACCAAGTCACTCAAAGAAATGCAGGCAAATACATGCTGAATATTCAGTACAGTATGGTTGAGTTTATTTGTAGGTAAATTGAATCCAACAAAAATAATAAGAGGCGTGAATGTGACATCATAAAAAGAAAAATAAGGCAAGTGATTTTTTTTCTGCCGAAAAGTGTTGCAAGCCTCAGGGTACACTAGCAGGAGCAGTCATGAACAGGAATGTACCGAAAGCATAATTTGATCCATCGTTGATTATAAATCAGCAGTGATGTTTTGCATGATGAATAGAAATAAAATGTGTGCCGATAAAGCCACATTAGGAGGCTCATGGCACTCGTCGCTGTGCTTTTCCCAGCCTGATCTGTTGCATCTTCCGAACCCTGTTCAGATCTTTCTCCAAACTGGGATCAGCACAAATGGGCTTTTTCCAGGCCCCTGCAAATATGCTGTGGAGCCATAAGAAAAGAAAATCATATTTATATTAAAATACATCATGCTTTGACAGGGAGTGTTGTTTTAATATTGTAAAATAAAGATAGAAAGGACAGAGATAGCGTGAGCCACGTGTTATGCTATGCTATGTGCTATGCTATGCTAGGCTATGCTTGGAAGACTGACTTTTTTTACCTATGGAAACTGGAAAAACTAAATATTTATTCCAAAGTCATTCATGTCCCCTTCTATTGCTGTGTCTTGAAATTCATGAAGCACAAAACGTTTTGTACCAGATGTACTGTAATGTACTGTACTCTACTCTACTACTGGACTATAATGAGGGGAAAAAAAAGACGTTGAGCGAATGTAGGAGCTTACACAAGGGCATCAATGTCACAGGGGCCTCTGCCGTCCTGCAGGTACCATGTTTGGACCTTCATAAGTACTGGCTTGGGGATTGTCTTTCTGGTTTTCACACAGCATTTACTGATACCACCTACAAATGGAGAACATATAGAATTAAATTAAATAACTCGATAAAGATGGGCCACAATTGTGTTGAAAAGGTATGTTACATTTAGCATTACAAATCATCAGGGCACAGTCAACATTTCATTGCTCCATTATCGTCACTCACCTTTGTATAACATCAGATTATGGACTCAAACTGGTCACAATATTAAATTGGAACAGTCGAACGAGAGCAATAAGAGCTTTCTCTAAAAACGAATTAAAATGAACTGAATTAAAAAATAAAAATGAAAAATGCAAAACTATTATAACCTTGGTTGGGGAAGGTCTTCCTATATGGAGTTTGGATCTTATCCCCAAGCTTGTGCGTTTTTTTTTTTTCGCTTATTTGCTCCCACATTCCAAAAACTTGAATCTAAACCATTAATTAATCTCACAACTACGTTGTCAAATTATGATGACTAAATGAGTAAACCACACTAAATTTGTTCAACTCATGAAAAACAAAGGCATTTCTTCACAGTGATGATCTATTTTAATGTTTCCATACAAAGCTGGTGTTTACCTTCAGTGGAGTCGCTGGCCAAAACGACGAGGCACAAAGTCACCGCAATCACTTTCAGGTCCATGATGGCTGAAAACCTGAAATGAATAAAACATGCTCTTCCACTCTTTATAAAGTACATATTGGCTGTGTACCTTCCCAGTTGGGTGAACATCACAACACTCGAACAAGCTCTGACAGGTTATAGCTTCATTGATGAATCAACAGCATTCTTGTCAATTGGGAAGTAGGCCATACCGCTGTCAAAAAGTATTAACATTTACCCATGTTCACATTCATTTTTTAAAATAAATATATGTTTATTATTATGGTTGTAATTTGCAGTGGTGTAAAACTGAGTAACGTCCAACTCACATGTGACCTGAGGTGGAAAAAGTACTCACACTGTACTTAATCAGAAATACAGTTACGTTTGTAAAAATAAACTGGCAGAAATAGAATTGCTGAATCAACCCCTGTACTTAAATGAAAGTTAATAAAATGTACAGACTCTGAAATATACTTCAGGAAATAAGTAAGAATGAAATTTGAATGTCAGTCATAATTTATGCAGTACTTTACTGTTGATAACTTGGCTGAAAAACCTCTCTGCACACAAAATTACTTCATTGCCTCATTTATGAACTATAGTTTTCAGACTGAATTAAAAAATAAAATAAAATATGTGCTACTTGTCACCTATGAACTAGCTAACATTAGCACGATTTTAATGCTAACAAACCATGTGTTTCCAAAGCTAACGGTGAGAACTCTGTTAACAAAAGAATGCTAATTTAGCAACTAAATAGCGGTATGTGCCGGTCACAAACGATCCTTCTTCTTGATTGAAGGTCTATGATTCATTTGTTTTTATTATTTTTCTTTCTGTTAAAGCTGCATTTCATTGGTCAAGATTTGTGGCGGCATCTGGGTGTTCATACTAAGCAGAAGGGGGAAGGGGGAGGTTACAGGTACGCAATACAGTGGCTCACAAACGAGAGCAATGGAAAGATACTTTTGACTCCTGTTTGTTCTGTACCAAGACTTGAACCAAACAACTAAAATCCTCTTGGTCCCCAAAGCCGATTGAGCTAGAGCAGCTGAGGTTCAGGTACGACTGCCTTTGAAACATTGTGCAAGGATGTTGGACTACGTACAAGTGAAATTACCGTTGGCGAAATATCTTGGAACATTTACCAGCTGCCTGTCAGCGGCCTGAAAGCCAGCCACAGCCTGTGAATCAATGTACTCCGAATGGCTCTGATTCAACAATTTAACTGACAAAATCCAACAGGCACCACATTGTAATCAAGCTGGAACCGACAGAAAACACACACACGCGCATTTTGATCTGGGACATGCTGAAACGCATCGGCTTTGAGACCTTCATTATTAAAATAATTTACAAAAGCCCGAATTGTAATAACATCTCTTTCCATTCATCAGTCCACTTTTCTACAATACTTGTCCTTGTTAGGGTCTTTGTAGGTGAGCTGGAGCCTTTCTCAGTTGACTTTGGGTGAGCCTGATAAGTCAAATACAGCACACAGTCTTTTTTTTTTTTTAATACTCGATATTGTTTTATTCAGTTTTCACTCAACAGTCACATGTCACATACATAAACTGCTCAAGCACTGTAGTCCATCTTAATATGGAATCTAATGTGTTGACTTCAACGTACTCATTATTTGAACCTGAACGCTGAGGTGCATTGGGAGTAAATTTACAATATGTGCATCGGTATGTACATTAATGAACATGGTGACGCGTCTTAAATGCACATCATTTTTTTCAGAGTAGCCGGTGACGGGGGCGGGGGGTATTTTCTTCAACCAAGAGAGTGCAAGGCCTTCGTATGACATTCGAACTCTATTTGGGTTACATTAATGAGTGGATGTGACTTAAGTCATTGATTCCCAACCACATTTGATCCAGTTTCACTTATATGGGCTCAAAAGAATTTTTGTATTTAATTTATTTTTTTTTTTTTACAACACATAATGTTCATCTATCAATGCCAGTGGCGTCTAGTGACAGGGAGACAAATTAAATGCTCTTCCACTTGATGGCAGAAACCGAGACAAGATCATTCTTTCAGTTTTTTGTTTTTGGTTGTTTTTTTTTTTGGCAGAGCATCGTGAGATTTTCCAAATGTAAAATTTGTGCCTTGGCTCAACAAAGGTTGGGAAAACATTGACTTAAGGGAATGTTAGTTTCAGGTTGAGAGTCTCAAAGGCATTTAAGTGAGTAACTTGCAGGACAGTGTCTTAGTACTCTGTCTGTCCCCTGGTGGCTACATGGAGAAGGCGCAGAAGAAGCTCTGCAGGTGAGCTCCCTGCAGAGGTTTCGGCCGGATTCTTCGTGTCGACCTCCCCCAGACAGGAGGAGTCCACTGAACAGCTCTCTGAAAAAAAATTAATTAATAAAATGAAAAAATGGAGGGGATCTTCTAACCTCACATCCAAACACTCATTGACTTTCACAGTATTTATCTTTACCAGAGTTACAGCAGAGTCCTGAAGCGGCGCAGCGACCCCCCTCCAGTCCGCAGGGTCGGCCCCCGGCCTGGCAGGGAGTCAGCAGGTAGTTCTCCTCCACACATTGAGTTGTTTCCGAGGAGCCTAGAAGGCAGCCGAAGCCCTCCACGCAGCAGATGTTTGGGCCGTAGCAGCGGCCTTTTTCCCCGGGGCCGCATGACATGCACTGCAAGGCACAAAAAGGACACACTGAATGTTTTTTGCCTTCTTTTACAAACATTAACCTGAAAGAGCCACTGAGAACTCGAGTGAGCTAACACCATTGATTTCATTTTGAAGTTAAAGTCGGAGTCAAGGAAAAAATGTTCTTTCAGATAATATGTTCTATGCGCCCTTACTAGTATAAACATGGCATTCAGGTGAATGTTGCCTTCGTGGAATATATATTAAACATCGAAATACCCCCGTTTTTATTTATCTCAGCGGGCGGCCATTTTGCTATTTGCTGTTGACAATGACATCACAGTCGCTCCCAGCTAATGACCAATCACGGCTCAACTGTTTTCTGACTTTGACCCGTTTTTATTTATCTCAGCGGGCGGCCTTTTTGCTATTTGCTGTTGACAATGACATCACAGTTGCTCCCAGCTAATGACCAATCACGGCTCAACTGTTCTCTGACTTTGCCCCGTTTTTATTTATCTCAGCGGGCGGCCATTTTGCTATTTGCTGTTGACAATGACATCACAGTTGCTCCCAGTTTTCTGACTTTGGTCATGTTCACAAATTCGAGCCGTTTTCTTAATCAAGTAAATTTTCAGGATTTTCTTATAGAATGTAGGATTTTTACAAATAGCATTCAGCAAGAAAACAACAGTTAAAAATAAAAATAAAAAAACAAGTGAACTTTTCTTATATATGGACAGGCCATTATTGCATTCGGAACATGTTGGTATAAGTTAATGTTAGTTTTTATCTTTCATGAAATATTGAGAGATTTCATGAATGCTTTGCTAAGCCCACTCTTGTGCCGCAATTTGAAAATTGCATCTTAAAAAAGTTATTTTGTGACAGTATTTGTCACATATTAGCCCTCCAGGCAATTTGTAAACTCAGTTTGCTCATTACATGTTATCACTATTCGAGCACTTTAAAACATGGACATGTCACTCCTATTTCAGAGCACAACATTTCTTGCTATTTTTAAATGTGTCTTTTTAAAATAAACAATAAAAGGACAGCTAATACTTCTTTAATAGAGTTATCCTGTCTTTTATTAAATACATCTCTGAATTTCCATATCCCCTTATTCTGTTGTCATTGAGTGTCAACAACCCAGACAATAAGTCAGGAAACATGTACAGTATAACCAAACATTTGGAATGGAAACTGACAACAATAATACCTGAATTCTGAAGCAATTATTTTTTTTACAATATCCAAGCGTCCATTAACTGATCTGCTTATCCTCACGAGGGCCGCGGGTGTGCTGGAGCCTATCCCAGCTGACTTCGGGCAACAGACGGGGTACACCCTGAACTGGTTGCCAGCCAATCACAGGGCACACATAGACAAACAACCATTCACGCTCATAATCACACCTGGGGACAATTTAGAGTGTTCCATTGACCTGCAACGCATGTTTTTGGAATGTGCGAGGAAACCGGAGTACCCGGAGAAAACCTACGCAGGCACGGGGAGAACATGCAAATGCCAATCAGTTGACCGACGTCCCGTCCCGTGCTATGTCATGGTCAATGTAAATGAAGTAGACAGCGATAGTACATTTCAATATTTACTTATTAATAGAGGTAAAAAAAAAAAAATACAATATTGCTATTTTATTCGCATTATAGGAAAAAAACAGTAACCGTATGGAAACATCAACATAAAAAAGCTAATTTGTGTCATATTAAAATGAAGTATCACTTATTTTTTTCTCTCAAAAGTTATCTATAATAATGTATGTTTGGATATGTTGGATATTTTAATGAGTTATTTTACAAAATATGATGACAGTGTTTTTTAACAAGTTACAGTGTCGTTTAATAAAACATTTGGAAAGCTACAAAATATTTAGTACTTGAAGACAAGTCTTTTGGGGTTTTTACAATTAATTCATTTTTCTATTTTGTTCGATTAAAAAAAATATTCATCGATAGGAACTTTATTGTTACATTTTTTAATTGCTGGCAACGATGACTTAAATATTTCAGGCATATGACAAAATGTATATTGTATTTGGACATTTTAGATATTTTTATTAACTAAGTATGACAAACCTTGAACTTTTTTTTCATGATCTATACTTGATCTATACTTGTGTAACAATGTATAATGCTAACAATGTCACGTTTGGAAAAAGCCACAAATAAATGTGCTATGTAGAATACCCCAATACATGTCTTTTGGGGATTAAAAAAAAAATCAATTAATTCTTTAAAAACCGTCTTCTGACAAAATAGGAGATACCCCAATACATGTCTTTTGGGGATTAAAAAAAAATCAATTAATTCTGTAAAAACCGTCTTCTGACAAAATAATTTTTTTTTTCTGACAGTTGACTCGTAAAAAAACAATCGTTTGAAAAAAGTCACAAATAATGCATATGGATGTAATAATCAATGTCTTTTAGAAAGTTTTTTATAGCCATCCATAACCCTTTTTTTCATTTTCTATTCACAAAATGCAAAGAAAATGTCCTTCAGTATTTTAGAAAATAGCTAATTAAGGGGAATTATTTTTCTTTTTTTTTTTTATAGTTAAGTACAGGGATAACGATTCAAAACGTCACATACTGTATAATTATTAAAAGTTACGTGCTCTAATGATTTTTGTTTTTACTTATTTTATGTAATCATCTAAACTAAAGGGACTACTACAACGACTAAAATTGTTATGTACTCCAATATTTAATATTTTTTAAATACAGCATGAAAAAAAAAAACTGTGATGTTTCCCCACCTGTCTGAGTGCCGTCTCGGCCAAGGCTCGCTTGCCTCCCCGGGGGCAGTTCTGGATGTAGCAGGCGGAGGAGAGGGCGATGGAGAGGGCGAGGAGTCCCAGCACGCATCGGGGTAACGCGGAGGAGCGAGCCATCGTTGCTGATCTTTGCTGTGCTTTTGCTTGCCGCGGGGTGCCTTCAGTTCCCGCTCGCTTCCTCGCTTTTAAGCGCTTGTTTGACACTTGTCCGTGACGTCACAGGCGCGCCGGTGAGGTCGGGGCGGATGTGTTTGCGCATCACTTACCTGCACAAGCGACAACAAATGTTATGTTCTGTATTCAGCTGCGACAATAATCACGCTGCTGGCAAAAGGACAAACTGTGAAAATAAAAAAACCTTTAACACAATTAATCAAGAGGTTGTCAGCCACTGAGCACTTCGTGATCAAGCAGTCCAATTAACACCTAAAAATAAAACGTCAAGGTCACTCCGATTACCCCCTTACGCTTTGTGTTTGTGACTATTCACGATCCAAACAAAATTTGCATTTTAAATCCACTTGTGTTGCATGTGCTGCATTGTAGCGCACTGATTAGGCATCTTGCTTGTTAGCAGTTAGCGGATTTATTAACATCATCAAGAGTCCTGCAGAGGTGGCAAAGGTACCCTGCATTGATTCAACTCCTGTCCTAAAAGTTAAAAAGTAGCCTATATACTGAAATAAACATATGTACCCATTTTAAAAGGATTCTTTATTGTCAACTATACACAAATAGCAGTTTTCAGAACTTCAAAATGAAATAAAATTTCTACACTAACGTTCCCCACGTTTATTAAATTGAAATGGGGACATTGGTGGTCTGGTAGGTTTGTTAATGTAAAAAAAAAAAAAAAATCTAAATTCGCTCATCCAAACAACATTAAAAAAATACACCAAATTATCTTTACATATTTGAACACAGTGGAGCAACACATGTTGACAGATGATGTCGCGACACTTAAGAGGCATGTATTCTTTATCCTCTGTGAAGAACAACAATTACTGCACCTTACGTAGAGCCGAGACCATCCTCATTTACTGTGTTATTGCATACTGTAACTGTATTACACTACAGAAGCAAAGTTTTGCTTGAACTGAAGCAAAAAAGTATGTCTCCGTTTTTATTTCTTGGCATTGAATTTAATCAGAGTATATATTTTTGGGATGTTCATCTGAAGTACAGAGAGTGTTATTTTTCATTTTAACATTAAGATGAATTAAGAATGCATTTTTTAAACATCTTTAAATGACCCAGTCCATCTCTCCCTTTCAAAAACTTGCAAAACTCAGCATCCAAGAGTTTTGCATAGAAAGGGAGAATATTTCAGTATGCAGCACAACAGTCAAAAATGTAAATAAAAAATGACAACATGTAAACCCTCATGAATATCAGTAAGGTAAATTAAAACACCAATTCATAATTCTGGTAGCTCAGACCCAATATGATTTTAATTGTGAAGTGACTACCACAAAAAAAAAACAAAAAAAAGCACAGACTATTATTATTTTTTTGTCTTCGGTGTCATTTTGCATGCAGCTCTTGAGGAGCGGATGCAGGATCATGACCTTGATTCCGCTTGATGTTGTCATGGAGACCAGCATGCTTGTTAATGTGGTTGTAATGTCCAAGTCTCTGGGCTCCTTTGTATCTTTTTACATGCTCAGTGTCAGTCCCGAGGTTGGAAAAGACGCGGTGCAACGACTGTGGCGTCGTCACCAGCACACCTCAATACACATGCGGTCAGAATTGTTGCCATTCCTCTGTTAATGAAAAGAAAAAAAGAACAAATAAAATGGAATGAAATTTGTCACTGTTCTGTTTGGTCGCAAGGTGTGGACCACACTGAACATGGACTACAGAACGCAAAGGAGAGAGTTGTCTCTGGAGATTAGAAAGAAAATGAGACGAGATGATTTTCATTTTCTTTATTATTTTACCTTAACTAACAAAAAAGGGGTACCAAAAACTTTGTCCACTTTTGTGTAGACCTCATTCCAGCGACGACCAAATTCATAAATCAATTATTTTAGGCGTCACGTACAGGGCCACCGAAGTTCTGGCTCATGTCTGGCAACGCGAAGGGGAGCCATAACAAGCCGAGCGTATGCAATGGGTCAGCGTTTTGTATCAGTTCATTTAAACACAAACACACAGCAGTAAAATAAAAACATGAATCATTGTCATGCTAGTGGCTAGCACAGGGTATAAATATTGTCTCAGGCGTTCCTGTGTCACCTCATTTCACTTAATTGGCTCAAAAATGATTTATTTAGAACAAATAACATATCCGTGTTCGTCGACATAAGCCCTTGATATACACGAGCAAGCCGATCAATGAAATGCTATTCCACTAGGTAGCGCATGTAGAAATTATCAACTAATTTTGTACTTTTTTTTTTCTTAAATCACGGATGTACATACTTTTCTAGGTAATTTTTTTGCAGTATTACAAATCTTTTTTTTTCTCTCGCACATTGTATTTTCATGACAAATAATATGATAACAACACTAGATGTAATGCACTGCATTAAGATTTAGATTCAGCAAAAGGTGGAATTCTTTCTTGAATCGCTATAAATTACAACGCATGGTCAAATCTGTACTGTGCAAAATGGTGGTGGTAATGTTGAATGGCAGACGCATGGCACTCGGAGGTCAGCAGATCACGAAGGCTCAAAAATGTCTCCATGCTTCCGTCTTTACGCATTGAGCCTCTGTTTATGCTGCACTCTCCTCACGCCTCTTTGTGTCCACAAACTCGTCCGTCTCAACCAAGGCTGCAGAGCCTCAATGACAAGACGACAAAAAAGTGAGAGAAGAGGACAAAAATTCCATTTCCTTTTTTTTTTTTCTTCAAACAGTCGTACGCAATACTTCTTGACGTCCTCCGTGCACCTGAGAATGTAGTGAGGAACAAGGACAAACACCGTTTCTGTGCCTCCACCTTGAGAACAGATTATTTCCTCCCACTGTCTCCGGGCAGGCTAGTGATGCACGCGTACGATGTCGCCGCGCGACGTGGGGCTTCGGCAGGTAGGGCACAGGATGCGGGCGGAGGATGATATTGGCTCAAAAATGATTTATTTAGAACAAATAACACATCCGTGTTCGTCGACATAAGCCAGTGATATACACGAGCAAGCCGATCAATGAAACGCTATTCCACTAGGTAGCGCATGTAGAAATTATCAACTAATTTTGTACTTTTTTTTTTTCTTAAATCACGGATGTACATACTTTTCTAGGTAATTTTTTTGCAGTATTACAAATCTTTTTTTTTCTCTCGCACATTGTATTTTCATGACAAATAATATGATAACAACACTAGATGTAATGCACTGCATTAAGATTTAGATTCAGCAAAAGGTGGAATTCTTTCTTGAATCGCTATAAATTACAACGCATGGTCAAATCTGTACTGTGCAAAATGGTGGTGGTAATGTTGAATGGCAGACGCATGGCACTCGGAGGTCAGCAGATCACGAAGGCTCAAAAATGTCTCCATGCTTCCGTCTTTACGCATTGAGCCTCTGTTTATGCTGCACTCTCCTCACGCCTCTTTGTGTCCACAAACTCGTCCGTCTCAACCAAGGCTGCAGAGCCTCAATGACAAGACGACAAAAAAGTGAGAGAAGAGGACAAAAATTCCATTTCCTTTTTTTTTTTTTCTTCAAACAGTCGTACGCAATACTTCTTGACGTCCTCCGTGCACCTCAGAATGTAGTGAGGAACAAGGACAAACACCGTTTCTGTGCCTCCACCTTGAGAACAGATTATTTCCTCCCACTGTCTCCGGGCAGGCTAGTGATGCACGCGTACGATGTCGCCGCGCGACGTGGGGCTTCGGCAGGTAGGGCACAGGATGCGGGCGGAGGATGATGTCGTGGTGGTGGTGACGGAGCTTAGCGCGGGTGCCGAGTTACTTTGCAGACAAGCGCGGCACAGCAAGTGGCCGCAGAGCAGCCGGTAAATGGGCGAGGGCGCCGTCGAGTACGGCGAGAGTGCACGGGAACACGATGAGCACGTCCTCTCGCCTGGGAAGCACAAAATGCGGAACAGTTAGGAAAAAGATCATTCGAGGGTTTTTCTTGGCTCAAGTGAAATCTTTAAACCCCCTTGTTGTGCCACTGAGATTAGTGATGTTCTATTATTTTTCCAGTGCCCACCTGCAGCGCTAGAAGCAGTAGCCTGATGCTGAGTTGGGGCCTCCACTGACTCGGTGAGAGAAAGGGCAGTCTCCCGCATCGCCAAGTTTGAAGTAAAGGAGGGTCGTCCCTTCAAGACGGAGAAGAGGGCGTCGTCCAAACTGGCTGACAGATTATTTTCATGCGAGCTGCTGCTGCTTGGCCCTGAGGAAGACAATTTGCATGGAATTTCTCCATTGTGAGACAAATAAAGGTTTTCTTATCTTATCTTATACACTGGAAATACTCAGTTCGTTTATGATGAAAGAGTAAATCTTGTGGAAATTTTACTTTTGAAATGCTTGTACACAAATCACCGGAATGCCCCGCCCGTCCATCAAGTGTGAAATTCAACAACCCATTAAATGTTCTGTCATCTTGTCTATTTCTGAAAATGTGTTAGTGAGCCTGCGTGGATTTTCTCCGGGTACTCCCGTTTCCTCCCACATTCCAAAAAACAGGCATGGCAGGCTGATTGAACACTCAAAATTGTCCCTAGGTGGGAGTGTGAGCGTGGATGGTTGTTCGTCTCTGTGTGTCCTGCGATTGGCTGGCAACCAGTTCAGGGTGTCCCCCCCGCCTACTGCCCGAAGACAGCTGGGATAGGCTCCAGCACCATAAGCGGATCGGAAAATGGATGGATGGATGATGCAGGAAGGACATTTTGAGCAAACATGTATTTGAGGACATACTCTCACCTGGGCTCGAGTCACTTCTTGGTTGTTTCGCTTGAGGTTGTAGTTGGCGCACAGCTGCTTCCGATCCATTCAGGTGTCGTTTCTTCCCTCCGTCAAGAGGTATTGTTTTGTATTGACTAGAGAGCTTTGAGTCACATGATACACTGGCATCATCCGAGGACTGTCCCGACACGCGGTCCTCGATTGTAGCCGCCGTTAAACAGTGATTTTTCTTGGCCGCCAATGAGCCAATCAACCTGGAGGGTTTGGGCTTTTCTGCTTCCCCTCGCCTACCCGTCGTCCCGTCCCTCCTGGTGCCGCCGTTGTGCAGGATGAAATGGTCGATGCGCCGTTTCAGATGGGGATTGGGGAGTGGCTGGGAAGTGGCGGTGAAGGGGACGCCGGTGAACGGGTCGCTCCCTGGTCTCCCCCATGAGGCTTCCCTCTTCTGGTGCTCCTCCAGGGTGGTGCTGTCCACCGACACGCCGCTCGGAAGCAGCATGGGAAGTGACATGACCTCCTGGGTGATGGGATCGAGGAACTCTTCTGGGATTGAAGTGAGAGACTGCGTGCTACAAACAGATGGAAAAAACAGCATAGGGGTGTCAAAGGGAAGGGAAATTACAGTATAGTCAAACCGAGACTAATCAACATACACTAAAAGTGTCATTTATCCAAAAGCTTTAGGAATGATTTCGTAACGATTTCGAGACGAACAGACGTCAATTATTTTATTCGTCATCTGTTCTTGAATTTCTTTGGATCGTTTCTGAGATCTTTTGGCTGACTTCACTTTCAGGTTCGATTTACCATAAGTGATTTCTTGATTGAACATGGACGTCATCAGGTGCGGCGGTGGTCAGTAAAAATGAAATCAGCTTTCCCCAAAATGTGAGTAGGCACAGGTAATTCATGATTTAAAAAGGGGGGAGGGCAAGACATTTTTCCACGCAGAGACATGTAGGTTTGAATATGATTTTTTTCCGCCTTAATAAATTGTATCACAATTTAAAAACGGCATTTTATGCTTGCTTAAGTTATCTCTGTGTGATCTTCACATTTGTTTGGGGGAAAAATTGGGGAAACGATGCAACAAAATTTGAATTTCAGAAGGGGGGAAATACTTTTTCATGGCACTTTAAACCAATGTAAACCCAACATATTTACCTCGGAGGCGTGTCCAGGCAGGGCAGGCTAATTTGATTGACAGCTGGGACAGGTCGAGATAGAGATCTTTGACTGGCCTTGTGGGCCTGCTCAATCTTTTCCACTTCCTCCAGGGGGCAGCAACGAGCCGGTTGCCCCCAAACCGCCAAAGCCTTGAGACCCAGAGCGGACGCAGAGCCGCCGAAAGGCAGCGTCACACGGAGCTGCGTAACCGCTGTCAAGGAAAGGTGTCCTCGGCTCCACAGCTCTTCCCGTCGACCGTCGTCGGGTTGAGGAGGAGGAGGGGACGCGAAGGGGGGCCGCAGATGAAATGGTGGACGGGAGAAACTAACTTTGGTTTCCTCCTTGAGTTCACAACGCCCCACCAGTTTAAAGTCATGCTCAGAACAATGTGTTTGAGTATGAGGCCTTTGCTGAGGCACACGAGAAGTCTTCAGATGAACCTGCGTCTGGAGCCCATTTTTAAGATGGTCCGGACCAAAACTTTGAGGAGGGAGCGGTTCAGAGCTGGTGCTAATCTCCAGTCTCTTGCTGCACTGTCCTCGGTCCATGCCCCAAGGCCATAGCTCCACATCCACTCTGCAAAGCTCCACCTGGAATGCGAACCTTAACGTCACCTGTTAACGGTGAGGAATGGAAACCAAACAAATTCACATCTTCTCAATAGTTTTGGGGCACTTTTATGATAAAAAGTCTAACACTATCTTTATGTGATGTGACATTTCAGCACAGCAATAATCAAGTCTGATCCTGAAAGGGATGACTGATATTTCCATAATTTGCTGTTGGACTTGGGCAAACACAAAGCCCCTTTATTAAAAAAGTTAAAAGAGAAACAGTGCCAAGTGAGACACTTTAGCCATAAAGTATTTAAAATGATCAGATTCTAGAGGTGACATTTCAACTGTTAGAACCAATGATCAGTAAAATGCAACCAACAGCAAAGTCTCACCTGCACAGGTGGACGTAAGAAGTACTCCAGTTTGAAGCCCCGCCTCTGGAGAGCAGGATCTGCTGATATAAGGTTTGTAACATCGTACCCATCTGCACACAGCTGCCGTTGGACATGAAAGAAACAATCAGAAACTGGGACGTAATGACAGCAAACCAACAGACAATATTTTCAATCAATCAATGCTTCTCCGGGGAGAAAATGGCGTGTTTGGATTAACTTGAACTTTATATGAAGGTGTTAACAATCAAGACAAGTACCACTTGGCAATCCAAGCGTCTGTTGCATTAATACAAACTAGTTGGCCAGACAAGGATGCTGTGCATTCATTTCAAATGATTGAAGATCCTCGAATTTGAGATGAGCATCCAAGGATGAAGTGACAAATTCACTGTCGAAATAAATTTAAGCAGAGGCTGCGAGGGAGAACGAGTGTGTAGAAAATACAGCTTTTCTGATATGACAAAATGGCAATGAAAGAGCATAAGGCCAGCGGATGAGTCAGTCTCCCACACACCACTGTGACCCTCGACGTCTTTATTTTCAAGCCTTTTGTTCCCCACGTCCCCTATGCTCTTTTTTTTCCTTTTCCCAAGCCTATCAAGAATATTCTAGCCATACACAGGACACACTGTCCTGTTAACTGGATGAAGGAGGGAAAACAACATAAATGGTCACGTGTGACCATTCAAGCATCTAATTGCATTAGATTTAGTAAGAGCTGTGATACTGCTTTGTACAGTACATGAGGCATAATTAGTAAAATGGGCTATGACAATCAAACCTTTGGTCTTGAAAAGTAACTATCAGTACTGTGTTTCCCAAAAAGAGTTTCAGTTTAATTCAAGTGATTAATGTAGTTTTGGACGTGTGTAATGTGTAAAGTAACAATTTCTGTTGTGATTTGGCACTATATTCAGAAAATTGTCACACACGTTATTTCAGCTTTATACAAAATACGCTGTACCTTATTGCAACTTATGTTTGTGTTGAAGTGTGGCAGGCAAAGATTCACGACCATGTCCTCCAATCTGAGAGAAAAAAAAATACACGCATTCAGTCAGATATAAGAAGGCACTCTTACAGGTCAAGGAAGAAGCACACTAATCACCGTTGACTCACAACTTCAACTCCCATTGACTGACTCTGCTTTCAGGAACACAGGTCAAGGTAATAAGACTCCACAAAGATGTCCATATAACAAATGAGGTAGCAATATAGATTTGTGCAGCTGACTTAACAGTCATTCAAGAAGAAGTGTTGTCGATTACCCCTATTGAATAAGATTTAAATTACGCTAGCGATATAAGAATAACAGGGTTTTAACAGACTCCACGTTACAGATAGCCAATAATTCTTAATGAACAAGGCAAAGATCTTAACATCATCACATCATTACATGTACTGTACATCTGTTTTAGTTTCCAGAACGATTCCGTAAACACTACAAGCTAGCTTGACTGCTAATATATACGGAATGCGAGAAGGGACAAACTGCAAAGTGAAATGTGTTTTACATGTGTAGGATCCGAGAGGAGTGAAGTCGAAGTACGTACATTTTACGCAAAACCCCATTTAAAAAAAGAATTCCTCTATTTTTGACAATTGTAGAGATCATTAAAACAGTGGTTTGAATGATAGTTAACGCGCCTTTTTTAAACCAGGCACTATATCTAAAAATATGTATCAATGCAATCAAATTATTTTTGTTGCTAACCGACAAATCGAAAATTTAAAAACCACTAGCTTGACTGCTAATATATACGGAATGCGAGAAGGGGCAAACTACAACGTGAAATGTGTTTTGGATGTCGGGATCCTAGAGGAGTGTAGTCGAAGTACGTACATTTTACGCAAAAACTTATTTAAAAAAAATTCCTCTATTTTTGACAATTGTAGAGAACATTAGAACAGTGGCTTGAATGATAGTTAACGCGCCTTTTTTTTTAAACCAGGCACTATATCTAAAAATATGTATCAATGCAATCAAATTATTTTTGTTGCTAACCTTCGACAAATCGAAAATTTAAAAACCACCAAAGCCCCGCCGTCTTACGATTTATATGAAAAACTAGTTTTGCGTTCTTATCAAAAATGAAATCTTTCATAAAATTAACGCGAAATGTAAAGAGCTGCAATTCTAGAAACAAACAAAAAAAAAGAAACTTGATAAGGTCTCAAGTTGATTCAAGGCTTCAGGCGAAAATAAAAGTTTGACATAAAACTCCGGACCAATTTCAATTATTTAATATTGTTCATGTAAATACATATATATCACCATAAAACTGAATAAAATGTTCAACAAGAATAGCTGAATTATTCACATTTATTCAGTCAGTTGATCTTTACAAAGATGTGGTTTTAATCAAGCCAGAACAATACTGATAACATAAACAATAAAACTGAAACATGTATAAAATTGATAGCATTTTGCTCTCTAAACAATGCAATACTGCAACTACATTTATCACCTACATCAAAAGGAGCATCTTTTCTCTTTTTTGGACAAGGTTGCTATGGTTACACCTCCATATGACAAACCAATAGGCTATCTATACAGTTGAAAAAAAAAACACAAAGAAAAACTCAATGGCACATTTTCTTTGTCACCATATTTATAATAACAGTAATAAACATGATAATACTATGTGATACCCTAGCGATACGTTAATATTCTTGAGCAACATCTTTGTATGCTGGCATGTACACCACATGTAAAAGCAATGGTATTCACACTGGATTCTAATGTACATGTCAACTGGACATGATGTAGTGCAGTTAGGCTGAATGCTCCCACTGTTCAGTCTAAATAAACTACGCAGTTAAACAAATGCACAAAATCGAACACCCGCTTCCCTTCATGTCCATTTTACTCTATTTAACAAAAATCAATTAATTCTTTCTTAATATAGATTTACTTGCAGTATTGCCACTAGTCTCTCTATCATCATTTATAAACTGGCGCGCGCGCGCGCGCACACACACACACACGCACACGTACAATCTATAATTATAAATATCTATTTCTTGTACATCATACATTCTCTATTTTATTTTTTTACTTTGGGATTTTTTTTCCTGACATTAAGCAAATTGAGATGGTGTGCTTCCATTCATTTGTTTCCACTGTTTTACAGTTTAAGAAGGAAAGAAAGTCATCTCGGAGCACCATTATGGATCAACACCGACCTCTAGGGTTCATATTTAGTCACCGCAGGTGAAGGTAAACTCTTTCGACTCCATAACATTTGGATTGGGTTGATTATCAGCTAAACATATATTCAGTTTATTTTCAATAGTATTATTTTAGAAAATATAAGCTCTGTTGTATTTGAGGATATGGTTTGACTCATGCATGTTGGACATTGTGCATGAAATGAAAACCGACTTCAATGGGATGTCGCCTAATGTCGAATAAGTGATTGATCTACATAGATACAGATATATATTGATAATCAAAGCACTGAAAATTTAATTCACACTTGTTTTTGTTTTTAATTCCAGCAATACTTATTCTCTTATACATGCTGGACAAGATGGAGTAAGGCGCTCTCTGGCCAAAAATGCAGGTTAACGTCACACACTCTGACCACTAGTTCTACTTGTACGTTATACGACTGAGACAGACTTACAATGAGTAATAAATATCGCATGATAATAATAATAATAATCATAATAATAATGATAATACTCTTGTTGCAATTTCTGACAATATCCCTGATTGTCTTGTTTTGTTTTTGTTTTTTTTCCTGGCACTGGCATGAAATAAACGACCGCTGTGGTAGTGCTGTCACCTAAACATTGTCAGTTTGTTGTCCTGCAGTGTAGAACACTTTTATTCTGATAATGCAGGAAGTGCTGTGCAACTTGTGAGCGAAAGGCTGCCTAGAAAATGGATGCACTTCCCATTTTAATCACCTGCTTGCACCTTCAAATATTGTGTTTTTATGTATATGTGGTCAGCTGTAATGCTCTTACAACATGATGTGATGCATGTGTTGCATCAGTGTTTTGACTGGGCATTTTCCTGCGTGTATTTTTCTTAAATTTCAGTGGACTCTATCCTCTCCAGGCGTGAAGGTCCTGCCCAAGGAGGGGCGAGCTGGTGGAGTGAAGGCGGGCCCTTCTGGTCTTCACAGGGCGGGGACAGGGTGAGAGTGATGGGGCCGGGGAGTGAGGATGGTGGTTGAGGAGACAGAGCTGAGAGCGATTGTGGAGGCGGCGAACTGGAGGAGGAGGAAGGGGAAGTGTTGGTGACAATGGTGGTGGGGACGGTGCACGCGGTGCTGGGTTTGTTTCCCAGCTGGCTCATCCGTTTCTCCAAAGCCTGGTTCTTCTGCAGGGTCTCTACGTAGCTCAGCTGCAACTGGGCTTGGTATTTCAGTACCCGCTCTTTCTCGTCCTGCCAGGTGTGTCGCTCTTGGTCAAAGTTGAGAGCCTGGCGCTCGCGTTGCTGCCGCTCGAGGCGCAGGGCGGCCTGCAGCTGCTCCAGCTGCCTGCGCAGCTCGCCCGCCTCGTCCCAGTGAGCGTCCTGCTGCCGTTGCTGCTGGGCCTCCTGACACAGCTGGGCCTCATGGCGCAGCTGGGCCTCGTGACGGAGGTGTGCGTCCTGGCGGAGTTGAGCTTCGTGGCGCAGGTGAGCGTCCTGCCGCATCTGCATGTCCTGCTGCGTGTGGGCGTCCTGACGCTGGTGCTGTTGCCACTGCGCTTCCTCGCGTTGCTGCCTCTGAGCCTCCTGCCTCTGGGCTTTGGCTTCGTCACTCTGAAGACTCAGCAGGGTGTCGGCCGTCGGCGGCAGGGAGTTGGTAGATTGATCGCCGGGAGTACGCGGACAGTGGACGATTCCCCAGGGTGGCAAAAGTCCCGCAGCAGCTAAATTTGGGCTCATGACGACCTCGGCCCCTCTGCTGAATTCATTCAGGGCTCGTTTTAGACTCAACACCTCTGCCTCGAAAACACCAAGCTTCTCTCGCAGGATGGACACCTGGAGGAAGAAAAGAACAAAGGCAGTCTTGAGAGGTACGTAAAGAATTGCTGTCAAATTCAGGTTTTACACTGTTGTGTGTGAATGCCAAAAGGTGAGTTTAATAACTTGCACATTTGCTTGGCCACGTGACATTTGAGGAGCCTCATGTGAAGGTGGTTGGTTTGTGTAAAATAATTTAAATACCGATTAGAGTTGTTTATGTACCATGAATTCATGATTGTGTACATGCAAGATGCATGGCGTTGATCCTCTACATTTTTTGCATTTTACTGCCAAAAGCATTTCATTGCTCTTTCTGTCACTTATACGTCACTATTTGTCGTAAATAAATCATCTTTTAGAAACGTTTTTAGATGTTTGAAGTTTCTCCCTGGTAAAAAAAAAAAAAAGAAGAAGAAAAAAAACAGCAGACAAGTGGGTGGAGTAAATATTTCAAGACACTCTTTCTTAATTAAATGACCCCGTAGCTGTTGCATAAAGTGCACGTATGCATATTTTATTTATGTAAGCTTCTTATAAGCTCATCCAGCACAAAAGATAAAATTGTTTTGACTTTGGCTGAATGTTGTTCAATCCCCACTTCGACATGCTCCCGTTACTCCTTCCCAGCGTGGATTTTGGGGATTAGAATTTCAATTATTTGGATTTACTGGAAACCTTCTACATCCAGCAGTTGCACTTATTGAATATTATATTCCGTGTTTTGTTCTCTTCATTCTTTTTGGTCCCTTCATAGTTGACAAATCTTGCCATTAAATTCAAGATTGCTTTTTTTTTTTTTTTTTGGTTCCTCATTGATTGAAATGCATTGCACTTTACTGAGAGGTGTTTCTCATATCTGGCTCCTATGGAGCTAAATTTATGTTCGAGTTGATAAAAGGTTCTTTTCCATCACAGTACAGGAAGTGAAATTGGAACTGGCCTCTGACAGAGTCCTCCTCAGGTCCGCCTCGCACTTCTCCAGCTCCAGAGTCTTGGCGCTGTAGGACTCCTTCAGTCCGAGCATGGCCTCTTCCTGCTCCCTCAGCTGGGCATTGAGCTCCTTGAGCTGGCCCCTCAGAGCCACCATCTCTCCGGCCCGCTGCGTCACCTCAGCTTGACTTTCCCTCAGCTGCTGCTTCAGCAGGGAGATCTCGCCGGCCTTTTGACACACCTGCAACATTAGTGGGGAGAGAGAGGGTGAGTTTTTATGTTCATGTCCTAATCCAATTCTTCGAGCTCTCCGCGGGGCTTCATTGATCTGTAAATTTGACGGACATTAACACACACTTGCTCCATTCTGATAAAACGCCAGTTTGGCACAAGAACTGGTTTTCCTAGCTATTACACCAGTAGGAACTCTACAAATGCAAGTGCGAGCGGCTCTGCCTCCAACTCAAGCCAAACACACGATTTGCGACTAGTCGACCAGGCATGCTCTAATCGTTACTATGACTACTATTACTACTCATCATAGCATTATTTCTTTCTTTTTCCGATTTTTTTTCCTTGACTCTGTTGGCTCGTGCTTGCTTGTGCCGCATTACTTGGCCCCAGTGTTCGGAGTGTGGTTCTACACTTGCTTCTTATGTTGAGCGCATTGAAATGACCTCTGCTGCGAATTTGCGTTCTGTAAATATGATGAAATTGAATAAATGTGTGTCAGGATTTCTGTATAACAGTGCAGCAACACATGTAGACTGACAACAGCGTGGGGTGGCACAGATTATTGGCATTTCTATTCATTTTAATGGAGAAAGACGATTTGAGGTTCAAATGTTTTGCGTTACAAACGTCATCACGGAACCAATTAAAGTAGTACCTCAATGCACCCACATTATTGAACAATTAAACAGTGTTTAACTTACTCTTCATACTTGATAATTAAGTGTTCAATATTTCAAATGAGAAACTCTGTTATTGAACAATCAGCAGCACAGAATGGCTGCATTCGACTTTGGAGTTTGATCAAGTCCTCCTATCGCATCTCACCTCCCACTTGGTCTCCTCCAGACGTGGCAATATGTCAGCCTGCTCCTTCCTGTAATCTAAACACTTTCTCTCCAGCTCCTCTCGTTGGGCAAGCAGGGCTGCCATCTCCTCCTGGAGTCTTCTCTTGTCTTGGGACAAACGGGTTATCTGGGCCTGCAGAGCAGTCTGCGAGCGCTGTGCGCGCCGCGTCACCTGCAGATAGACACTCAATAAGTTTTGTGGCCATTTTACAATAAGCAGAGATTTTATGTGTTGTATCTCAGAATTGATGCCTTAAAACGACTAGTTGTAGACTTGAGCCCACATGGGTTATCATGACATGAAGGAAAACACAGCGTAAGGTGGCTGTGCTATTTACAATGGTTTACAGGTTTTCACGCATGTTTATTCAGCAGCCTGACAGCAGTCGGTAGGAACGAGCGACGGTATCTCTCCAAGCACGCAGATGCAATTCGGATGTACTGCATCACACACCAAACGTGCATACTTCTCCCCTCCATACTGTAAGTCAATACGTTCGATCATTTGCACATGTAGCCTTGAAGCAGCGGAACTCAGACAACATGCAATGACATTTTTAAGAACAACGGTTGGAATCAGACCATGCAGCGAGGTCACCTGCTGCAAGCGCGAGGCGTAGTTCTGTCTCAGCTCGTCCATCTGGCGCTCCCACACGCGCTGCTTCTCCTCAAACACCTGAATGATGGCGGCTTCACTTTGGTCCAGGTTGCGGCGCATGTGCTGCACCTAGTGGTCAAGTAAGGCATTTGTAAATATTATAAGATATTTTTGTCATGCAAGATACTCTAGATGAAGATTTCTTAGTTTTGGGCATCATTCGATTTGTCGGTTTGGCAATTCTATGACAGCGTACTTTTTTTTTTTTAGCATAAAATCAGTGAAACATTAAAAAGGCAAAGTCTAAAGTGGCAAGTATGTGTTTTTATTTTTATTCTTCGTGACAGGGCTTCACTTTGGCCTGGGGAGTCAAGTTCAGCATTCGCTTCAATGATATCTGGCGCCATCTAGCGCCGTGAATGGGTATAGTGTCTAGACCCCGAATATAAGACGAACCCCACTTTTTCAGTCTTATTTCAATGCAAAAAACACCGTCTTATATTCGGGCCAATACGGTATTACCAGCTTTGCATATACCGACCTCTTGCTCTTTCTCCCACAAGCGGTCCTCCAGGTCCTGGATGATGTCATCCGAGGAAGGGGAGGGCCGTAATGGTCCCGGTGCGTCACTCATGTGACTCAGCCTCTGACAGGAAGAGGAGCTCTTCCCTGACGAAGATCGGCCGCTGTCTGAGGCACAAAGCCCGTTCTGGAGACAAAATCCCCAAAAATGTATGTAATCGTGACGTTATTTGGGATGAAACTATGTAGGAGTGTCTACCTGGTAGCCGGGCTTTTCCATTTTGTCCAAGCCCGCTGCCGCCCCAGCCATGCCCAACCTGTTGATGTGGCTTGTGGAAGCACTTAGCGGTCCCAGTACGGCTGGAGGTCCACAACCAGAACCCGAACCCGTGTAGGTGGGCAGGCTTGTCAGAGAGTTCCTGCCTGAGTCGGACATTCCGCCCTGAACCACCTCATTCGGATTTCCCGCACCCTCACCTCTGCTGACCCTCACCGGGCTTTCCTGGTCCAGGAGGAGGGCCTCCGGCACTTCTCCTGACTCTCCCCCTCCACCATCCCTGCCTCTCCTGCCACCTCTCCCCTCACAGAAGCCTTCGCCCCTCGCCTCGCTTTTGCCCTCGCTCCCAGCCCCGCCTGCCTGGCCCACAAGGTTCTGCATGGAGTGAAAACTTTTCGGAACCACCGGTTTGAAGGCAGAGGGACGAACAAGGCCGGAGTCTCTCTGCATTGCCTGGGAAATAGATAGTGGGAGGATGAAATTAATATATTCATCAGTGACTATAAAACCACCGCAGAAATACATATATTCAGCCAATATATATACAGGTATATATATTCTGATCAATTCGGGATCCATCCTCTTACAATTAGCCAGGGTATAGGTTCCAGTTTCTCAGTCACCCTGAACGACAGACATTAAAATCAAACAATGGATCAATATCTACAAACAAAGGGAAATTATGCTTGGTTTTTATCTGCCGTGATTCTTACCAGCTATTTTTTGAAGCATTGGTTTAGCATAAAATAAGCAATACTGAACACTATTTCAATGGGTGTATGTAGTAAAAATACACTAGTCTCAAAGAGGTTTTTCAATTGAGCAAAGTTTTGATCCATGTCAGGGGTGCAGCCGTGTTGCCGCTTGCTTCTCAACTGAAAATGACATCAGAGTGCCCGAGGCTCAGGTAACGACCATCAAGGCTCACCTATTTTCTGGGTATCGATATTTTACGTTCGCAAGCTGGGCCCTTTTTTTTTTTTTTTTTTGGTTCCTCATTGATTGAAATGCATTGCACTTTACTGAGAGGTGTTTCTCATATCTGGCTCCTATGGAGCTAAATTTATGTTCGAGTTGATAAAAGGTTCTTTTCCATCACAGTACAGGAAGTGAAATTGGAACTGGCCTCTGACAGAGTCCTCCTCAGGTCCGCCTCGCACTTCTCCAGCTCCAGAGTCTTGGCGCTGTAGGACTCCTTCAGTCCGAGCATGGCCTCTTCCTGCTCCCTCAGCTGGGCATTGAGCTCCTTGAGCTGGCCCCTCAGAGCCACCATCTCTCCGGCCCGCTGCGTCACCTCAGCTTGACTTTCCCTCAGCTGCTGCTTCAGCAGGGAGATCTCGCCGGCCTTTTGACACACCTGCAACATTAGTGGGGAGAGAGAGGGTGAGTTTTTATGTTCATGTCCTAATCCAATTCTTCGAGCTCTCCGCGGGGCTTCATTGATCTGTAAATTTGACGGACATTAACACACACTTGCTCCATTCTGATAAAACGCCAGTTTGGCACAAGAACTGGTTTTCCTAGCTATTACACCAGTAGGAACTCTACAAATGCAAGTGCGAGCGGCTCTGCCTCCAACTCAAGCCAAACACACGATTTGCGACTAGTCGACCAGGCATGCTCTAATCGTTACTATGACTACTATTACTACTCATCATAGCATTATTTCTTTCTTTTTCCGATTTTTTTTCCTTGACTCTGTTGGCTCGTGCTTGCTTGTGCCGCATTACTTGGCCCCAGTGTTCGGAGTGTGGTTCTACACTTGCTTCTTATGTTGAGCGCATTGAAATGACCTCTGCTGCGAATTTGCGTTCTGTAAATATGATGAAATTGAATAAATGTGTGTCAGGATTTCTGTATAACAGTGCAGCAACACATGTAGACTGACAACAGCGTGGGGTGGCACAGATTATTGGCATTTCTATTCATTTTAATGGAGAAAGACGATTTGAGGTTCAAATGTTTTGCGTTACAAACGTCATCACGGAACCAATTAAAGTAGTACCTCAATGCACCCACATTATTGAACAATTAAACAGTGTTTAACTTACTCTTCATACTTGATAATTAAGTGTTCAATATTTCAAATGAGAAACTCTGTTATTGAACAATCAGCAGCACAGAATGGCTGCATTCGACTTTGGAGTTTGATCAAGTCCTCCTATCGCATCTCACCTCCCACTTGGTCTCCTCCAGACGTGGCAATATGTCAGCCTGCTCCTTCCTGTAATCTAAACACTTTCTCTCCAGCTCCTCTCGTTGGGCAAGCAGGGCTGCCATCTCCTCCTGGAGTCTTCTCTTGTCTTGGGACAAACGGGTTATCTGGGCCTGCAGAGCAGTCTGCGAGCGCTGTGCGCGCCGCGTCACCTGCAGATAGACACTCAATAAGTTTTGTGGCCATTTTACAATAAGCAGAGATTTTATGTGTTGTATCTCAGAATTGATGCCTTAAAACGACTAGTTGTAGACTTGAGCCCACATGGGTTATCATGACATGAAGGAAAACACAGCGTAAGGTGGCTGTGCTATTTACAATGGTTTACAGGTTTTCACGCATGTTTATTCAGCAGCCTGACAGCAGTCGGTAGGAACGAGCGACGGTATCTCTCCAAGCACGCAGATGCAATTCGGATGTACTGCATCACACACCAAACGTGCATACTTCTCCCCTCCATACTGTAAGTCAATACGTTCGATCATTTGCACATGTAGCCTTGAAGCAGCGGAACTCAGACAACATGCAATGACATTTTTAAGAACAACGGTTGGAATCAGACCATGCAGCGAGGTCACCTGCTGCAAGCGCGAGGCGTAGTTCTGTCTCAGCTCGTCCATCTGGCGCTCCCACACGCGCTGCTTCTCCTCAAACACCTGAATGATGGCGGCTTCACTTTGGTCCAGGTTGCGGCGCATGTGCTGCACCTAGTGGTCAAGTAAGGCATTTGTAAATATTATAAGATATTTTTGTCATGCAAGATACTCTAGATGAAGATTTCTTAGTTTTGGGCATCATTCGATTTGTCGGTTTGGCAATTCTATGACAGCGTACTTTTTTTTTTT